GAATATCTTTGCTGACTGAATTCAATCATTGGAACTTGAACTTTCGTCGCAATGGAACTTCATTTGTTTCGAGACAAAATCAACTCTTTGCTCTCGGAAACATTTTCTGTATCATCTAGCAATTTATTCGCGAAATAGCGAGTGAAGTATCACTTCAAATTAAATGAATATAGCATTGGAAATAATTATACTATTTAACTGGTACTGCAAGCATGAAATTTTGATTGTATTCCTTTGATATGCGACTATCGTTTAAATCAAGTACGTTAATGATACATAATTTTAATTTCTCTTGAAAAATTTCCTTCGCCATTTTATTATAAACTTTCGCAAGGAGCAGTAAGAGGTTATGCGAATTATTCGAATGATAATTAGATGATAATGAGCTTCTATCCGCAAAGAATTTCTTCCTTTGAAATTTTGTTATTCCTCTTACGTCGTTATATTATACACTAACGTAATTGTCGGTAATTATAAAAAAATTTTAAGATTTTACCTGTTATTTAAATTTAAGCATAATGTCCCCTTACAGTCGAGTGCAAAAGGTTAATACCCGATTAAATAAATTCTTGCTCGTTGAATTCACTTATTTGACCTCGTATCTCTTATCGTACGAATTACTTCGATAATTGCATCATAGACGAAAAATCACTCGTAAAGGAGAATCACTGAACTTCAAATAACTACAAACTATTTGTCCCGCAACAAATTTATGAAAATAGAGTTCTGTTGTATGTCTACTCATCTAACGGTGATAACATCACGTTTCATGAGCTTGGCAAGAGCAAATGACAAACGGAGGATGAGATAAAGCATTCAATCAAACATTCGTGACTTTAACACTAGAACAACCGATTGAAACGAAAAATTTCTATTTTAGAGACATAAAATAAAAGAAATAGAATAACTTTACGATATAATGGATTTTATTTACTCATTTTACGAAAAGTTATTTAACACTACTAAACGTACCAAGCGGGGTCAAAGGACCCCTTTTCAGAATTTACTTTAAATAAAAATATATGTTTGAGTATTTTAT